AGAGTATTTGACAAATAATGTTGACGAAACATTGATTGATAGTTGTAGAAATAAGATATATTAAAAAGATACATAGCGTATATAGATCAAAACTTTTGGGGCTTAATTTAGCAGCACGAAGCTATCTTCGACTTGAGTTTCTCTGGGTAGACGACCTGAGGTTCTGTCGTCATTACCAAATATAACTGAAATATTTGGTTATAGAGTGAGTTTATATTTTTGTTAGAAGAAATTCAAGACGAAGAGGCTTTTTTATTATATTATTAAAACTTTGAGACAGTGGACAATGCCTTTTTACAAGTCTTTTACAAAACATTTTTATAAGAAAATATTTTATCAATACTTAACTATCTACTCTCTAGACTAGTTTTAAAACTTATTACAGCTTTTCCTAGTTACAAACCCATTTAATAATTACTATTTAATACTATGCATAATGATTTATATATAATGATAATAACATTATGATATTATAAATAAATAAATAAATACATATACAAGTTTGTTGGGTGAAAGGTCTGTTGGTATTATATGATCGTTATGTGCATTATAGTCACATAATCATCATAGTATGTAATATTTACTATGGCTGATCTTCTAATTATATTATAGTAGCACCAAAAAAAACTCTTCTTTTTTATAGATTAACAACATATAGGGTATAGAATAAGTTTAAAATTTTTGTATAACTCTAAATTATGTGAGTAGACAGACAGAAAATACAAAGTTACTTTTTTGATATTTTAATATATAATGCATCAAAAAAGTAATTTTTATATTACAATGCATAAGAATAAATGGTCTGTCACTTCATTTTAGACAATAAGTGAAAGAGAATAATTGTAGCTTATACAATAATATAATATATGACTCAAAAATTTATCTCTTTTAGCTTTTAAGTTTTCTGGTAATCTTTGTACTAATGTAGTATGGTACTGGTTGCTAAAGTTATTACAACACAATTGTTACTCCACTTGTATTTATTGATCATTAGTTAAAGTGATAAAAAACATAGTAGCTTTGTGAGTTGATTAGCTTTAGTTCTAACTATATAATAAGATACAATCTTGTATCATGAATATAAAGATTTAATTTAGATTTTAAGATCAGCTTTTAAAAGGGATACTTAGTATACCCACCAATATTTAACTGTCTAATATAGAATAATATATTTTTTAATTCATTTTTTTTTATCTATTCTTATAATTGTTTCAGGATTATGTTAAACCTTTTTGCAATATTTTGTTTGCTAGCTGTTAGATTTTTTTAAGGTATATAACAATTGCTAATTTTTCACAAATATTTCAACTTCTTTTTTTTTTTGATAATCTTTGCTTGTTTTAAACTTGTTTTATTATATCCTATTTTCTAATAATATTATCTCATATTAATATCTTTATACTAATTGTAATAAACTCTTATCTATTACCTTTTCACTAAAAAACTTGAAACACAATAGAAATATAAAGTATGAGAATTTTTGAAAATGATGAATAAATTTTATATATATTAATTATACTATTAAGTCAATCATACCATAGTCTGTAATATTTATATATCCTATCACTATAACTACATTTTGTATAAATTACTTAAGTACAGAAACAAATTGTTGCTCAATATATAAAGTTATTTTTTAGATTTTTATATTAGTAAATTAAGAAAATAACTGTTATTATTTAATTCTGTAAAGTGCTTTTTAATTTTTGATAAGTTACTTTACAATAATTTAATAGACAATACATCTGTCATCTGGAGAGGATCTGCAAATTTTTATAAGTAAATTTTATTATTAAGCCAAATATAAAGCACTCTAATCTAAAACTTTTTTTTTACTAAGTAAATTACTCTTGGGCTTCTAACAAAAGTTGTAGAGCTTATCAAGATTAGTAATTTGAACTAAAAAATTTTTCTTAATCAATTAACTGAACTGAATTATTTTTATTCAACTAGTTGCTAATTGGTTAAGATTAATACTCTACTATCTTTGGAAATTCTCAGAGCTTATTCTAATTTTTGTTTATTTATTTATTTTTAGAACTTTTTAGACTATTTACTTTCTTATTATTATATTATTTTGTTATTTTCAGATCCTACTAGCTGGTTGTACTGGGTCAACTGATTAAAAATTTTCTCAACTAGTTATCTAAAATTTATTTAGTTTGGGTTGGTTAACTAATTATAGTTTAACTGATTCAAGTCATTAATCAAGATGTATCTAACAGTAGTAAGAATATTAAAATTAGCCTTATAGTTTTTAAAAAATTTTTAAAAAACATTTTGCTGATATATAAAAAAAATTGATTTTTTTTAAAGAAATTTTATATGTCAGCGAAATGTTTTTTAAAATTTTCTCAAAAGCTACAAGGCTGATTTTAACATTTTTACTACTATTAGATGCATCTTGATAAGCTTTACAACTTTTGTTAAAAGTCTAAGAGTAATTTACTTAGTAAAAAAAAGTTTTAGATTAAAGTGCTTCACATTTAGCTTAATAGTAAAATTTACTTATAAAAATTTGCAAAGCTTCTTCAGATAATAAATATATTGTCTATTAAATATATTTGTTATTTGGTTAATTTCTAATAATTTGCTAAATCTGCAAGAAATTCTCTATAATAGTACAGATTTTAGTGATTTATTTTTATTTAGTCTTAACATCAAATTCTTTTGTTTTTTTTTTTTTTTTTTTTTAAAAAAAAAAAATTATTCTTTTGTAATCGAACTTGTGGTCTTTCTATTATTAGAAATTTTTATACTTTGCATCTGAACTAGTTAGACCACTAAGTTGAATTAGTATTAGCTACGTAAGATTTAAGATTTTTAATTCTTTTGATATCCTGAACTAGTTAATAATTTAAATATAGTACTTTATCAAATTATTTTATAATATGAATTTTATGCATTTTATAACAATATTTATATTTAGCACTTTTTAAATAATATTCAAAGTTTATTTGTTTATTCTTTTTAGCTCTATATCTATTTTCATAACAATATCCAATATTATATATTGCAATAGCATTCTTTATCTCTGCAGATTTTTAATAATAAATGAATCTCTTATGTTTATCTATTTTAACTCTGAAATTTACTGATAATATGTAAATTTTTTGCTAACTAGTTTAAAGTCATTAAAAACTATAAATTATTATATAAATTGTTATTGGTTGAATAAAGTTTGATCTTAAAACAAATATTGTATATCTATTGGTATTTATTTCTCTGAACTATTCTAAAATGAATTTGGTATTATTCAAGAGTACTGATAGCTTTTTACTCTTATTGTTATATACAAATACTTGGTTGTTCAAAAAGTATAATGTTTGTAAAGTTGAGGGTAAAATTATCGAAGTTGGGATAGTTAGAAAGTGAACTTATTTGTATATTAATATTTGCTATACAATTTATTACCTTAAATAACATTAAATTCATTTAATTTTTTGCTATTTTATATATATAATATGGTGGGCCTCCTCTTTCCTCTACTATAACTAATGGTAGCTAGTCTTAAATTAGTTTATAAATTAAAAAATTAAGAGGTGATTTGCTACACTTAGGTAGTTATACAAGATATAATAGATAGTTAAAATTTAATATCATCTTGATACAAATCTGTAACTAATCTTATCATGTATACAGCAAATTCATAATAAAAAAAAAAAAAATATATATATATATATAATATGGTTTGAGTGATGCTAATACTGTAATAAAAGAAAATTTTACAATTTATCTCAAACAAACATTTTATAACATATGATATATGTAATACTATATTCTTATATAAAAATCTTGATTATTAGACCTTCTATATAAAATCTCTCTGATTATCAAACCTATATCTATACAATAAATCTATAGGTCTATTGTAAGTTTTAAAATAAGTAGAATATAACAAACTCAGATTTTGTTTATAGTAATAGGCAGACTATTTAAATAGATACTTAAAAGATACAGATATAACTAGATATACTTTTCAATATATATAATAACTGTTCTAACTCAATAAAGTATACTTGACCAAAAGATTATCTTAATATTAAAAAAAAATAATTATAATAATAAAGCAATAAATACAAATTGATTATATAAATTTAATTTTTTTAATTATAGTCAAATCTCTCTAAGTACATTCTCTATAAGTATATATCCTTCTTAAGTATACACCTTAACCTAGTCTCAAGCTCAGAATTAATTGCTAAATATATACTCTCTATACTTTGCACATGCATAAATTTTGTGATTCTAAACTTATAAATAACCCTCTGTAAGTATATACATATGATTAATATAAAAATTTAACCAATAAAATTAGTTAATTTTATTAAATACAGTATATCAAACCAATTTTTTGATACTAGTATATGAAATCATACATAATCGCAAAGCAGTTTAAACAAGCATAATCTTTATTTTTAAGATTATTTTTTTTAAAGTTACAAATATTAATAAGAATATTTATGTTATATATATCTAGTTTTATATTAAATTAAAAAAAAGTTTTTTAAATTTATATAATCTCTTAAATTTTAGCTTTGAATATTTCTATTCTATAAAAAAAAAAATTGAATCCTCTAATAAGTGCACTACTAATACTTTTTAAAAAAAATAATTGCTGATTTTACTTTGTGGTATTGAATCTGTTTTTTTTTTTTTAATAAAATTTTTAACTTTTTCATAGTCTTAATACTTCTTCCACATTATTATTTTGTTGAAGAAGATATATATGAATTGTCTCTAGGCTTGTAATTGCCACTTTGGTACTGATTATAAAAATATTTATATTATTATCATCATTATCATTTTTTTTCTCAAGATCATTAGTGGTTTAATTAGTTGTTTTGAATAAATTTATGATATCTACAATAACTTGATTATCATCAGGAAACTTATAAACAATATCTTCTTTAGAAATAGACAAAAGCTCTTTAGCCTTTATTGGGTAGATAAGATAATTATAAAGAGCTTTAAGTTTATTATCAAGATCATTAAGCTTCGTATTGACTATTTGAGAGATATCATCTAAGAGATCTTGTAATTTAGCATTAGTGCCTATAGAAAAAATTTTTGTATAATACCAACAATTGTGAATTGTATTGGCAATAACTTTATTCTAATCTTTAATAATAAAATATATAGTTTGCAATACCATAAATTGCTAAAAATAAGCACCCCTTTTTAATATATAGAGTGTGTCTATTTTCAGGTAAAAATTTTCATCAAAAATTTCTGAAAATATCTGATCACATGTATTTTAGCATAGTGGGCTTTTATTCTAGTTGGCTAATTTTTGTAGATTATTTCATAATTTTACAAAATCTGATTGGCTAATAGACTTATACTAAAACAAACTCAAAGTAAAATATTTCACAAAATATAATAGCATTAATTGAA